ATGTAGATAGAAGACGGTAGTTACTATTTACCTTTTTTGAAACTCGAAAAACTTTTTTGATTTTTTGGGTAATATAACCAATTTCATTTTTCATTTTTGGGGGTCAAAAATAAAAAATTCAAAAATCCGAGATAGCAGTTTTGTAACCCTGTCGATTTCACACCTTTTATGACCTGATCATTTTTCTGTATCTTCAAAGCTGTAGGCCTGACAGCTCTTCTCGCGAAGCTCTTTTTTTGGTCGAAAATGGCAGAACATTTCGTCATTCTGATGTCATTTGTGGCCAACCTATCATAGCCTCTGGAAAATGTTGGTCACAATGTGTAGATTGATGCCCGGAGAAGTCCTGAAAGTTTGGTGGCGATAGCACAGCCGTTTAGGAGATATTGACGGAAAAGGACAGGGGGCCGTTTCGGCCCCCCCCCCTTACGGGGTGCGGGTTAGAAATTAGGATGCGATCTTTAGTCAACCCAACGCCCCGCTTCCACCCGATCCTGTTAGCCAGCAGTCGACTGCCCTGAGCTTGACAGGTCAGGTCAGTGTGTGCCTGCGGGATACGGATGAAAGGCGCTGTCGGGTCACGGCTGGTGGACGGTGCTCAGTGCAGGCGGGTCATCAGTGCTGAGCGGACTGTGAAGAGGCAGCATAGTGATCGCAATTTCTGTTCTGTGGTTCTGTGGGGATGTCTCGCGAACTGTTCGATCAGAGGTTCCGGGAGTGGGAGGAAGCGTTGAGCGGCAATAACTCGAGTCGTGTGAAGACGCCGAACATGGCGACGTCATCCGCTTTCTGATGGACGCCAGACCGGTGGAGGAGAGGCCGCTGACGGCCAAGGAAAGGAGGTGGATGGCAACGTAACATGTTGTCGACTACAGGAAAAAAGGCAGACATTAATATGCAAGGTGATATTTGCGAGAAAGACAAAAATAAATAGTAAGCTGCGAAAGAGCGTCAATCACATCGTCTCGTTATGCACCATTGCTGCCAAGCTTCATTCTGAGCTCTGAACCAATTCATCGCGTCTTATCTACATATATACTCGTATATGACTGTAGTTTCGTCGTTTTCGCATTTTACCTAGGTAGTTTGCAACAACCCTAGGGAGTTTGCAAACTAACTAGGGACTTTGCAAACTACCTAGGGAGTTTGCAAACTACCTGTTCGACCAGGTACTTTGCAAACTCCCTAGGGAGTTTGCAAACTAACTGATCGTTCAGGGAGTTTGCAAACTCCCTAGGTAGTTTGCAAACTAACTGATTTCTCATACTCCCTGTAACATATATATATCAGAAAAGTATATATATATATATATATATATATATATATATATATATATATATATATATATATATGTATGTATGTATAAAATAGACTACAAAAGCAATATTCCTAAATAAACTGTGAGATGTGAGAACTTCTGCAACTTGGCGCTCACCGCTCCAAGAACGTAGGTATAAGCCACTTGATTTTTGTTGTTCTAAGACATGCAGGATTTTCGACAAATATTGACAAAGAAACCCAAAGCAGACCTGAAGCCAGGCCAAAGCAGTTGGTGGGTGCCACTTCCTGACTTTTTTCACGATTGCTTGGAGCGCTAACCACGGAGAGAGAGAGTTGAAAGCCGGCATACCTACCTTTCACTCAAGCCAAAGCTTGTAACACCAACCGCATTTTCGGGCCCGGGCAAGTCACTGATATTGTATGTGAGCCGCTGCATGATCCTAAAACTTTGCAACTTAGCAACGGCCTTGGTACACAGAAAGTGTTTCACAGGAAGATGAAACTTACAGGACTGACCTCCCTGCCCTCATATCATTTACATCTTGGATTTTTCCGGAGGTCCCCTGAGGTCAGGAGTCCAGGACGGTCACGTTATCACAATTTTAAGTAAATGAGGGAAATTTAGAAACTGTTATTTTAACGTCAAAAATAATCTTAAGGCGTTCTCACACTCTTGGCACGACTTTTGGCCAGGCTTTCGTCGTGGCAGATCGTGCCATTTTGGGGCACAAACTGGGAGACTCCCGCGCCATTCACGACTGTCGACTAGCTCACGCATAGTACACGAGGAGTTCATGGTGATTTGACGAATAGTTCACGAATGAGCATGCGTCAGTGTCCACAATGCACAAACTGGCGCTATGAGTTCACGCATAGTTTTCGCATAGTTTGCGCATAACGTACATACACATTTTCCGCATGTTTGCACGACGAGTTCCCGTATTACGTAATTCGATAAGGCTGGGGCACGCCATATACAAATGAGAGCTTCCTTTTTTGGATTTAGCGCCATGTTTTCATTCTTTAATCATGCTTATTCAAAGTTATTAACTTTTGATGCCCTGCGGAGGAGACAGCATGCTGAATGCCAGAGACACAAGTATTGCAGAGAAGAGAAGATGTCCATCCCTGGCAGCTGCTCTACATATAGTCATTATATAAGAAGAGCAGGAAAGGTTGGAGGAGAACAGCAAAAAAGGCATCCTCACATCAAAGAAAGGCTCAGAAAAACGTTGGTCAGGAACTCGTAGACAAGTCGTGAGATTGCCAGTATTATGCCAGTATCAATAGGTATAGGTATTACTGTCCAGAAATGTAGTATGACAGCCCAGGTCAGTCCATTAGAATGGCGGGCAGTGTCCAGGAAGACCCCACACCGACACGAGCGCCACTGTCAGGCAGTAGTCGTGAACTGCTCGTGAAATCATCGTGAACTGCTCGTGGCATGCACAAACTATTCGTAACGTGCGTAAACTAGTCGTGAACTATTCGTGCCATCAATGCGTGAAGAACACGTGATAGCATACCGTGTCAGCGGGAATGTACGGCCGTGTTGCGACTTGCGATATCCATCATTTCGTGAGCATGTCGTGAACCACTCGTGAATTCGACGTGAGATGACCGTGACTAAAGGGGCCCTGACACTTCCACGATTTTGTGGCACGCATTGGCACGAATCGAATCGTGCCCGTGCGCATACTAGTCGCAAACTGACGTGAAGTGTGCGTTAGCTCGTCGTGACTTCGTGCCATGTCGGGGCGAGAACTTTGAAATGTTCAAAGTTTTGGTCACGACAAAATTTCGTGACCGGATCGTGAACTACGCGCAAACTGTTCGTGAACTCGTCGTGAACTCGTCGGGACAGTGCGGGAAGTGCGTAAACTATGCGCAAACTATGCGAAAAGTATTCGTGAACTCGTCGTACCAGCCGTTGCCAATGTGTGGATCTCGGCTTGCTTCGCAGCGCAAAATTTGGAATTGTTTGGTGTTTTTCCCCAGTCGATTGGACGCCTAGATGGGAAGTAATGACCGAAAATACAAACGGGTCATTTCAGGTCAAGGAGGTTAAACTAGGTCACACGGGCTCAGGTTAGGTCACAGAGGTCAAATATATTAGGTCACACGGTGTCAGGTTAGGTCAGAGAGGTCACCATGAGGTCACGATGAGTCACGCCAGGTCACAGAGGTCAGCCAAAGTCACGATAGGTCAGTCCAGGTCAAACTGGTCACAGTAGGTACGGTCAGGACATTTGCGTCACTGGAGCTCACGATGGGTCAGGCCAGGACACGGAGAAATTGGTAAATGGGAGGTCCCATTTTTATTTGGCATGCCCAAGTCGGCACAAATTGCGCAAACTTGTCGTGCTAATGCAGGAACTGCGTAAACTATGCGCAAACTATGCGGAAAGTATGCGTGAACTCGTCGTACCAGTCCGTGTCAATTTGGACACTGATGGGCACGCATTCGTGAATTATTCGTGAAATCATCGTGAACTGGTCGTGCACTAGTCGTGGACAGTGCGGGAGCCATCCCAGTTCGTGCACGAAAATGGCACGGCTTGCCACGACAAAATCGGGACCGAAAGTCGTGCAAGTGTCAGGGCACCTTTATGCGCGTCGTGACAGTCGTGGCATGGCGCGTATCATCACGCACTGGCACGCATCCTCCCGCATCAACCTGAAGAGCTCACGATAATTTCACGAATAGTTTGCACTTAGTTCTCGATTCGGTCGCGAACTTTTATCGTGAACAAAATTTTGAACATTTCAAAATTCTTTTTCCTACGCGGCACGCAGTAACTACGGGTTTACGAGTTCTTCACCTCAGTGAACGTATGACTACTGTCCTACTGTTTGCGTACTACTGCTGTTGACTACTGTTTGCGCACTAGTAAAGCCCCATATGTTCCTTGGAGCTTTTCATCAATAGCTCTCGATCAAATTGAGCTAGAGAGTCGCGAAATCCATTCGTATGGACTAAAATATACCTTCCAAATCGGAAGTGAAATGTAATGCAACGTACCTGGGAATTTCGAACATGGTGGTACCAAAATCGCTGCTCTGCGACCATTTAAGGCGAGCTCATTCACCAAAAACCGGATTCCTGCCTAGAGGTTTTTGACCTGACCTCAGAGATCACAGGCTGACCTGAGACCTTAAAATTGGGCATCAGTCACAGGATCACAAAACGGCGCACACACTCGCCTTTTCCGCGTTGCTCTAGCTCAATTAGAGGCGAAAGGGCAAAGAGGGTTTGATCAACCCACTCCCCCACCCTCGGTCAAAATCATGCAGGATATCACTATTGATTTCGTCTTCATGATCACTAGTTACACACGTGTTTTCGTTACTTCGCAACCCTCATGGATAAATGCAACCCTCATGGATAAAAAATACGTTCATACCGTACGACCCTCAAGAAGAAGAGACAGCACAAAGGACAACAGCTTTAGTATACTTATGCATATGCACCCCACCGCAACATCCGGACATTCCTGCCCAAATGCAAAAGTGTGTAAAGATGCACGTGCTACCTGCTATGCTTTCTCTATGGACCGGAGAACCGAAGCGCGTAAGACGACATGCTACTTAACTACCGTTTTAAGGCTGCCTCTAGTAGGGCCAGTTCTGAAAGTAGTCTCACGGCTGATTTATACAGGTATATAACGCGCGGCGGACCTCGGTAGCGCATCATCTGTGCCTGCACCGCCGACTGCAGTATGAAGACGCTCCACCTGCTGTGCGGCGCCGCCCTGGTGAGTACAGGCCTTCTGAAATGACTTCGACACAAACAACCTAACATCTGGAATGCATCGCTATTTGGTTAACTTATAGATCTGCCTACATACCGTGCAGTTTTGGAAGGCGTGGATTAATGTGTTTGCCAACAAGCCCAGTGCACTTCAGCAATCAGACAGAGCTTAGATGTAAAGCTTTGTGTAATAAAATTCCATTACATGTACGCAGGCCATATATGCATGTTTGATACCTATCCAGGGCCCAATCTTACCAAATGCCGTGAATGCGCATTCACGGCATTTGGTAACATTCAAAACTATTCCACATTCACTTATTCTTTCGTTTAGGCAACATTCATAATCATTCGCGCTATCAAAATCATTGGACAACATTAGCTGGATGTAATGAAAAAGGATATCTTTGATATCAGTGCCGTGAACTGTGGCCAGTGCTACCAAATCCTATTCACGGCATTGGTAAGATTGGGCCCAGGTGTAGTCGGTAAAGTTAGTGAACAAATGAAGATAAGAATGCCACTCAAAAGCATGCCAGACATTCGAGAGCCATACGGAGAGATAACGGCTTTCCATTATGCAAAGTTAAATGAAATGTAGGTAGGGCAGCGCATAGTCACAATGCATCCGAGGTGACCGTTGCAATAGGTTTGGCAAGATGCCAATAAGAAAACATGCTTATTTGGCTCGGGAAAAAATCTTAGTTTGAAGACAGGTGAAGTTTGTTTATTGCTCGCCTTGATTTTTTTTTCATATTATATGTCAATGTATCTGTCTTGAGAGTGCCGTTTGCAATGCAAAGGCTTCGTGCGTATAGTCATCTTGCCAATTCTAAAAATTGAAGGTTTTATCATACACATGTAATAATATCAATATATGATATCAAAATATATAATATGTGTAATAATATCAAAAGCTTTTTAAGGATTGCCGCATATCGAAGAAAGCTCTCAAATAACCATGCATAATGCAACGCATTCGCCATGCACCCTTAATATCTAGAGACACGTCTACACATATGTTCACCAGCCAAATGATACGCCACGTAGTCTTATACGTACAAAACATGAGTTCAGGTGGCATACTGTATCTAACAGACATATTCCCATGCTCTCCTCTCCAGGTGGTGGCTGCCGCTGGCAGTGCCGCGGGAACCGAGGCCGTCGACCAGCCTACCCCGGCGGTCGATCAGGGGTCCCCCGAAGTCACCAAGGAGCGGGAGACAGGCTCAGGCCAGCGCAGGGGACGCTTCTTTGCCTCCTTCTGGAATCTACTCGGCTACAATGAGGAGAAGGAAGAGACCAAAGTGGAAACTGTTCCCGTTCCTGTTTCCGTGGCAACGGTGCAAACTGCTCCCAAACCCATCCACATCAACCCAGTCATCGTCCTGAAGCAGGAGCATCTGACGGCGGCACTACCCAAACCAGTAATCGTCCAGTCTGCCCCTCCGAAGCCCATATTTGTTCAGCCTGCCCCTCCGAAGCCCATATTTGTTCAGCCTGCCCCTCCGAAGCCCATATTTGTCCAGCCAGCCCCTCCCAAGCCCGTGTATACGCCGCCAGTCCACCCGGAGCCAGTGTACGCGCAGTCAGCACATCCGAAGCCAGTGTATCCTCAGCCGGCCACTCCTGTCATCCAACACGGCAACGACGGGTGCAAGACTGATTATCAGTGTCCCAAGGGCTCCTACTGCCTCTCCTACAACTGCGTCCAGTGCATAACTGACAAGCACTGCTCCGCTGGTGGCCGGCACAGTCGTACCTACCAGAGGCGGTGCGAGCACAACCGCTGCGTGGACATCTGGCAGGATGACGTCGTGAAGTGCACCAAGTACTCGGCGTGTCCCGATGGCCAGTACTGCTCGGCAGGAAAGTGCACGCCCTTCGTACCCGAGTGGATGCCGTGCTCGGTGGCCGAGAGCTGCCAGTCCAACAGCTGCCTGCAGGGAAAGTGCGCCGAGTGCTCCCAGTGGAAGCCGTGCGCGGCCGGACAGTTCTGCGACCACGGACACTGCAAGTCGCCGGGTAACACCGGAGACAGCTGTTGGCTCAGCTTCCAGTGTCAGTCGCACATCTGCTGGCAAGGCGCTTGTGCCGACTGCGCCCACCACAGCGACTGCAGGAACGCAGGAGAGTTCTGTGAGAAAGGCCAGTGCAAGTCCCTTCTTGGGTACGGCGAGAAGTGCTCCGAGAACAGCCAGTGTGCGTCCAGAATTTGTGACAGCATCACGGGCCAGTGCGTTGACTGCAGGAACTCACTGACTTGCCCTGACAACAGCTTCTGTAGCACGGGCTTCAAGTGCGTGCGCAAAGGCATGTTCAAGGATGCGTGCACGTCAGACAGCCAGTGCCTGTCAAGGAGATGCGGACCCAAAAACACGTGCGTTCAGTGCAACCGCCTGCAAGACTGCAACAGCAGCACCCACTTCTGCGACATTTCCTTAGACGGAGCGTGCACGCCGCTGAAGCGAGTCGGACAGATCTGCGACGCGAACGAGCAATGTCTGGCACCCCTGACGTGCAGCCCGAGCACCAACAAGTGCGTCCAATGCCAGATCAACAGTCAGTGTATGGACAGTCAGCGCTGCGACAACACCCTGGGCATGTGCGTGGCCAAGTCTGTTCTGGGTGACTCGTGTGTGGGTGACTCGGACTGCCAGAGCGGGGTGTGCGGCATCGTGTCCAACCAGTGCGTCCAGTGCCGCGCCGGTGTGGTCGGGTCCTGCCCCGCCACCTCCTTCTGCACCGTTGATGGCACCTGTGTGCCCACCAACGTGCCGCTGAACGGCGCGTGTCCCTCGGGGCAGAACGAGCAGTGCGCCGTCGGTCTGGTGTGCACCAACCTCGTGTGCAGATCTCCGACATCGGTCATCGACCCGTCACAGACCGTTTCGCCCAACACTCCCACCCCTGCCGCGTCCGGCCCGTTCCAGGCCCGATCCTTCGGACGCCGCTGAGAGGTCACGCAGCTAGTCGGCGGTGATTGGAGGGTCGAGCAACCAGAGGCGATCAGATGACTAGAAAACTGCTAAAAGTAAATCTAGATCTAAATGGTGGCCGATTAGATTTAGAAGTGGAAGGCCGACGCCCGACACCTTTAGTGTTGCGCTTGATTTTAAAGAAAAACGATTTTGCATTGTAGCGATGTATTTCATAGCGTTGTTCAGCTTCACGGTCACGCTATTCGTGGTAGCATATCCTCATCATGATGGCACACTGGTTGCAAATCACCCTCCAAACTCTGTTGCTGATTTGCCGCTGTTCGTTATTTGTTGTTATTAATCGGTATTTAAAAGCGATACACATATGATTGCCACTACGAACACTTAAGTTGGCGTAACGTCCTTCCTTGGACACAAGGACGACTGAGAAATATTGTTGAGTTTATGTTGACGTTGTTTCGCTATGTTTTGTTGTTTTCGTTGTCTGGTGGAAGTTGTTACATCACGTGAATGCTGTTTTGTTATGTGTCTGTGTTGCCTTACATGTTGTATGTGTAGTCACGTTTGGCAAAATAAATGCATTTCCCTTACACACTACTAGCTTCTGCTTCATGGCAAAACGGCAATCGTTTGAAAAACAAGTCACAACTAATAGATAGCGGTAAAGCTGACATAAAGAGTTTCTCATATGGCTATAAAGTGTCCATCACGTTTTATGCTATCATCGGTGCATCGCACAATTTATCAGACTTGAGCTGGGCTTATCATCAGTCACAAAATAGGTAACCTTAAAGTATATCTCATTGAACCTGATAATTTCATGTAGCCCAATTTCCTTACTGAAACAGCTTCCAAAGACTGGATTGAAGGAACCAAACAATGTACTGCATCGTCCTGAATGTTTACTAAGCGACGCCCAGTAGCAAAGCTCCCAATTTAGGTGAGACATGCTCGTAAATCAATGAATGGATTTCGGCCTTGAGCCAGTCCTCCACTACATGTTTCTTTTTCTCCCACCAGACCGTGGTGAGCTGTTTAGCGTACTCCTTGGACGGCGAGCCCAGAAACTGGTCGAGCGCTCCCAGCAGGCCGTCCAGCCGCACCTCCACCTCGATGTCCGGCAGGCTGACGGCTATGCTGGTGTCTCGAGGGATGACAGTCCACTTCTTGTTCTTAAACTGCAGGTCCAGTAAAGTCTCCAGCCTTGCGTACGGCCTGATCAGCTCAATATGAGGCCGCCCCGTTAGGAAAAAGCATGTCAATTTGCCGAAAAAATGCGTACAGTGGCGAATCTGCCCACGAGCAGTGAGGTTTAGTGACGGCCAAGTGACATTAAACTCAAACCTGAGAGCAGAGCTTTTGGCATCGACGATCCTTAGGTGGTGAATTTCGTACCCAGAAAGACCATTCACTCGAGTTTCATTAATCCACCAGTCGACACTGGATTTGTTCACTTGGCTCATGTTCTTCAGGTGGACGGGTTCATACTTTCTCTTGATCATGTCGCGCCCCGTCTCCAGCAGGTTTTTGAGACACTTGCCCAGCGACTCGGGACTGGAGATGATGCATCCATCGATGAAGGAGACGACCGAAACCAGCAGCACGATCACTGTTACACGGCTCGCCATGGCGGCACGCACTCCGGACCAGGCGTCGCACAGCGCAGAGAAGGCACCGGCGTGGTGCCGGCGCCGCGTCCGGCCCCTCAACTGGTCCAGTGACTAAATGTCAGCAGGGCTTCACCGTGTTCACGACAGACAACGAAGCGACGCAAATGTCACAGAGTGAGCGCAATGACCTTTGGTCACTGTGTGAGCTTGTGAACGTGACGCGGCAGCCGCGCCACTCGTGGTCCGAACACGTGGCGTTGGCAGCACCGAAAAATAAGGATCTTGGCTTTCGCTGTTCTTTTGTGTAAGTAAATGAGGCGGGTTCCACTGATTGGTATTGTATCTTACAATTGTAAATGAACTAAAGAGGTAAGTGCATTTTTGTAAGGTATATTTTGTTGCATGCAAACACAGTTTACGACACATAAATCCGAAAAAGGTCAACAAATAACAATAACAACGCTCCAAGCCCCATTGGACATCAACAAGAACAAACAACAAAGGGGACGAATCACGATCAGTGACAAAAGCAAGCAAGGGTCAAGGATAAACATATCACTCGTCAACTTCGGCATGTCAGTAGCTGATTGCAGCAGTCACAATTGCATAGCTTGCCTGTCCTGTGATCCTAGCTCAGTTTTTAAAACCACTGCTGATGGGTGGCACACTCCTGTCACCGGCGTTTACTCCCGCCACCGGCGTTTACTCCCGCCACCGTCTAGCCCTTCCTCAGCGGCGTCCGAAGGATCGGGCGGCGGCCGGGACGGTCGCGGTGACGGTGGGAGTAGTGAGAGTGACCGTCAGTGACGGGTTGATGGCCGTCGCCGGGCTGGTGCACACGCGGTTGGTGCACACCAGACCGGCGGCGCACTGCTCGTTCTGTCCCGAGAGGCACGCACCGTTCAGCGGCACGTTGGCAGTCAGACAGGCGCCCTCGAGGGAGCAGAACTGTCCCAGAGTGCAGCCGCCGAGTGCGCCGGCCGGCAGTCCGGCGCGGCACTGGACGCACGTGTCTGACACGCTGCTGCACACACCGCTCTGACAATCGGCGTCTCCCACACAGGAGTCACCCAGAACAGACTTGGCCACGCACATGCCGAGCGTGTTGTCGCAGCGCTGACCGCTCTGACAGTCCGTGTTGAACAGACACTGCACGCACTTGTTGGTGACGGGACTGCACGTCAGACTCGGCAGGCACTGTTCGGTGGTGGCGCAGATCTGTCCGGCACGACCCAGAGGCGTGCACGCGCCGTCCAGGAGGTCACAGAAGTGCGTGGTGCTGTCACAGTCTTGCACCCGACTGCACTGCACACATCTGTTCTTGGACCCGCATTTGTTGGACAAGCACTGGTTGTCGGAGGTGCAGATGTCCCTGAACATCCCCTTGCGCACACACTTGAGGTCGGAGCTGCAGAAACTGTTGTCAGGGCAGCCCAGCGAGTTAACGCAGTCAACACACTGCTGTGTCTTGCTATCACAGATTCTGGACACGCACTGGCTGTTCTCAGAACATTTGTAGCCGTATCTGAGAAGGGACTTGCACCGTCCTTTGTCGCAGAACTCTCCGGCGTTCTTGCAGTCGCTGTGGTGGGCGCAGTCTGCGCAGAGGCCTTGCCAGCAGATGTGAGACTTGCACTGGAAGCTGAGCCAGCAACTGTCTCCCGTTTTACCCGGGGACTTACAGTGTCCGTGGTCGCAGAACTGTCCGGCCGCGCACGGCTTCCACTGGGAGCACTCGGCGCACTTTCCCTGCAGGCAGCTGTTGGACTGGCAGCTCTCGGCCACCGAGCACGGCATCCACTCGGGTACAAAGGGTGTGCACTTTCCTGCCGAGCAGTACTGGCCATCGGGACACGCCGAGTACTTGGTGCACTTCACGACGTCGTCCTGCCAGATGTCCACGCAGCGGTTGTGCTCGCACCGCCTCTGGTAGGTACGACTGTGCCGACCACCAGCGGAGCAGTGCTCGTCAGTTATGCACTGGACGCAATTGTAGGAGAAGCAGTAGGAGCTCTTGGGACACTGATAGTCAGTCTTGCACCCGTCGTTGCCGTGGTGGATGACAGGAGTGGCTGGCTGAGGATGCACTGGCTTCGGATGTGCTGGCTGCGCGTACACGGGCTTTGAAGGAGCTGGCTGTGCGTACACGGGCTTTGAAGGAGCCGGCTGCGCGTACACGGGCTGTGAAGGGGCAGGCTGGACGTACACGGGCTTCGGAGGGGCTGGCTGCACATAAACGGGCTTCGGCTGCACTGGCTGCACGAGCGTCGGCTCCGTCTCTATAACTGGCTGCACGATTATCCGCTTTGGCTTGGGCTGTGCTGGCTTCACGACAATGACGGGGCTGATGTGAATTGGTCTGTGGACATTTTGCACGTGGGGGACAGGCACATCAACGACCTTCTTTTCCTGCTTCAGTCCGAGTAGGCTCAAAAAGTTGTTGAAGAAGCGTCCCTTGCGTCCGCCAGAGGTGGTCTCTTCTCCATCCTTAGCGACCTCGGAGGGCCCCTGATCGACCACCGGGGCGGGCTGGTCGGCAGATGAGGCCGCAGCAGCACTGCCGGCCGCCGCCGCCACCTGAGAAAGGAAAAGGCAGGGGTTAATTGTTTTCTTTGTTCGTGAATGAATGAAATTAGAGAAAATATGAATGAAAATATGAAACTTGTCATAAAACTCATACAGCAACCAACACATGACAGAGTGAATCGATAAACATTTATGTTTCAATTGTCAATCTTCTTGTTGTTTTTTCTGTTCAAACAAAAACGGCATATTTTCATTTTAAATGTGGACTAAACTGTACAGAAAGGCAGTACGATAAATCGATTGAGCGCTGCCTCTGCCACGGGTACATTAGGTCGGAAGCGCAGGGAGGCCTAGAGTGTGTTGTATAATGCAAAATGAACTACCACTCACATAGATCACACAATAAGCACCGTAACGACTTAATGAAACAAAATGCTGCCAACTTTGATTTAGTCACTCACCAGCACTAGGCAAAGAAGCTGAAAGGGCTTCATGTTGCTGCTGCACTGGGAGTCAGTGCGATGAATGATCCAGCTCTCCTCGGAGAACGCTTTATACCCAGTTCAAATCAGCCGTACCCACTTTCAAAACCAGAACCGCCGCAATCAGTAACAGACACGGAAGCTAAGCAGCGGAAGCCTCTTTGCGTGCTGCGTTAAACGGCTTAGCAGTGGATGAGAAGAAAACGGTGTTGGTGGTCACGCACCTTAGGGGGTACGCGGGTAGGTCAGGCTGAGTCGGGGGTGCACAGCCCCGAGATGGCGCTAGTTATTGAAGTCGGTCGTGTCTCTATGTACTTTCGATGAAGGTGGCGGCAGTCTTAGGAAAAAAGTATGCTAATGCGGTCGGAGGGGCTGGGAGTGGCACGGGCGTGGGAACCGTGTTACGGAAGGGAACATAGGATCACTAGGGCGGATTTCGGTCCCAGATCTGGACTTACGTGAGTGAGATGGACAGCGAAAGTTGCCTGAGAGTGGTCAAAGCAAGAGATGGGTGAGTTTATGCATACTGATGCATCTTTGGATTAAATATTGCTTTCGCTGCTCCAGCTTTGAAGAAAATAAAGCCAGTTACTGGTGCAATTGCTCCATAAACCATCAGTTACAATTTGAAATTCATTCCAAGCGACTTTCACAATACTGATACGAAATATATGCTTTTTATTTCTCGCTTACCATATAGCTTCGTTTAAGGGCTCCAAAAATCAGTCATCCTACGAACCGAACGCTTTTTATTTTGAAGTCGATCGGCGCTAGTAAACGAACAATGTTTAACGGGAATGTTCCGCTTTAACCCTCGCCGATTCTACATATTCGTTTTCCACACGGCACATGCACATTCCGGCCGAGGGCTAGGTGGCAAGTTTGTTTGTTTATCGTTTGTTTATGGTAATGGACATGACATACTACGTAAATTACGATATAGTACGATATAGTACGACGGATTATATTTAAACGTTTGAAGGATTGTTATTGCAATTACTGATTACTAACTAGTGTGACGGAAAATAAAGTTGAATTGCTGCGAAAGCATTAATTTATTATAAAGCACCTCAAGTCGAACCCCCTCTCACCGTTTCACGCCTTATTGAACTGGAGCCACGGGGTAAGACGAGCGAATGCGCCATTACGAGACGCAGCGACTGGTATCCGACTTTGAGGTCTCAGGTCAAGCGCTGACCTTTGAGGTAAAGCCAAATGCCCCCAAGGTACAGGTTTTTCTTTTGATGAATAGCCTCGTCAAAAGTGGTCACAGAGCCGCGGTTTCGGCACCATCGTGTTTGACATGATGAAGCGCGTCGAATGATATACTTTATGTTTAGGGCAGGTCAACTTAATGGTTGACCCAAGATTTACCTTCGCCCCAATGGGGGGGGGGGGGGGCATATGTTACCACCCTGTCGCGTTTTTTTTTTGCGTGTGAATAAAAACCACGGCGCGTAGCGCCACATTGCTTGGAGTAGCTTTCTGTACATCAATTTCGGACAATGTGTGAAATTTTTGACCCCAGGTCATGTCAGGTCAGGTCACCAGGTCAAGTTATCTGACCAAGCCTAAACAGTTTGCAATCATGTCCAGCCTGCAGTGTTTGTCAGAGAGGTTTTAAACTTGGTGGATTGCATGATGTTATGGGCGCCTATAATTTGTAGATCTCGTTTTTTTATATCCGTGACCTAAGGTCAGGCCAGTGGAGTGACCTTACCATTATAAGTCAATGGAGAAAAATGAAAATGCCCCTAGATCCGTGTGTACGCATAGGAACAGTCCAAATATTTCAGAATCACAATGATTTGGACCACCCGTGACGACTGAGGTGCCTTTTTGCTGATAGCCTCTAGAAAGGTCATCCGAGGTCATTTGAGGCTACAAACAGATTTTTGCCAATAACTCTCGATTGGTAAGAGATAGAACGCTGGGGATGGCCTCATTGTGTTTGTCTTGTTGAGACGCATCGACTGATATGCAACATGACCTTTTCCGGTCAGGTCATGACCTTGACCTGATGTCAAACTTTCAAGTTGACCTTTCAAGGTCAAATTATAGTTCATTCGACGCGTATCGGCGAGAGGAACACGATTCTGGCAATATAAATGTCGTGGCTTTTTTTAGTCAAAAGT